AAATGCCGGTAAATACTATAACTAATAACTGTACTGATAGGACTCTGATTAATATATATATTATTACTAACTCTAATAATATAAATTCTATAATATATCTAAATATTCTAATATTATATAACTATCTAACTCTTATATCTTAATCTTCTATACCTTGATTCTGTCAATCCTGATTGATTCTTTAAATTCTGATATACTGTAAAACCCTAATATACTAACTAATCCTAATATATAATAAATCTTGATAATAATAAACTTCTATCTATTAATCTAAACTATATTAAATATCTTAATATAGTTTCTGGATTATAGAAATAAAACCTGTCTATACTACTATAATCTCTTAGACTTGATAAATATCTCTTTTATTAACTGATTTCTCTACTATATATATCTGCTACTAGATATTAGGACTGCTCTGCTGTTACTATTCTATACTATAAATAATAGGAATCTAGGATATTATCATGCTTTGTAGACTGAACAGATCTGAATATCCAGATGCCTAGCTAGACTATCTATAAATAAAATAGATTAAATTCTATAAACAGGTCTATAAATATAATAACTAATCTAGACTATATAAAACTTATTACTAACTATATAATATTAATAACTAATACTATTACTACTATTTCTATCTCTACTATTTTTAGCTTTAAAAACCCTAATAATCTATATATAGTTTATTGCTTCTTTAGTAACTACTGAAAATACTGTCTCTATAATAATGGCTTCTATGCTCTAATCTTTAATATAAACTATTACTGAACCTGGCTGAATAAAAATCTAAATATAATATTAAAAACCCTAATATAGTATAGCTATTTAAATCTTTTTATATCTAAATATATATCTTATTATATAGAATTCAATCTCTAATATATAAATATATTGATCCCGGAATAGGATTATAGAATATTATAAAATATATATAGATAAAATTAATCCTATAAAATAATCTAAAATTATAATAGCTATTTCTTACACTACTCTAACTCCATGTATATCTGGTATAACTAACAAAATAATATAAATAACTGGTTATACTAGCCCTGTACTCTTTCAGTAGCCTGTTTAAAAAACTGTGCTATCTGCTAAATATCTTGACTGTCAGTTCTATAGCTGGCTAACTGCCATTACTATAATGGTTGTACCTGCTCAGTCTACAGTCTATATAATATCATAGCCACTATGGATAATAATATATTCTGGTATATATAATCTCTTCCGTCACTCCGCTATTCCTAGTATATAGACTAGAATATATAACACTAAAAACATGTACTGAATCCAGTAAACTGGATACTGATCTTACAGATATTCTGTATCTATTTTTTGGTAATGGCACTCCGGGGTCCTTAACAAAATATTAACTTATGCTTATACTATTCCTGGCTGGCCATGATATATATATAATATCGCTGTATTCACTGCCCGGCCTCTCCTTCAATAAACTTCTTATTTAACTATTACTGGGAATCATGCTCCTACTACTAGATCTCGGGGGCTACTTGCCGCTGGATCTGTATATACTGTTACTACCATTCCCGGATACCAACCAGTACCCTACCATCCAGTGGTCTCTTATCCGGGCAGGATAACAATTCGGGATAGGATATATAATCAGCACAGTCCATAGCTCAGGAAACAGTCTCGCAATAGGCCCCAGGGGGAACAGTAGGTAGCAGGACAACCCACAGTGATAAGGCTTTACTAGAAGGGCTGGAACTAATCTCATTATTTCTCTTAATTATCCTAGAGGAAACCCTGGATTCCTGCGCTATCTAATCAGGATCATATCCATTATATGAGATCTTATTGATATTGACATCCCGGCATTGCTGTTGATGATATCTATCTACAGTCTTATCCAAATATTTATCTAATATATACTGTCGGCATCCCACACCCACTACCACATCTATATATTCTTGGACTAACTTGTAATGGGCGGCATCCTCGGCCTTAGAGGGCGTGCGGGAGGTTATTCTGGTAGATTAGATAATAATAGCCTCACTGCGGTGGCTATTGCAGCCGGCTTATCCACTCTCCTGCACGTAATCCAACAATATCCGCAGCATCCTAATATAGATAATACTATAGATATTGGGAATATCTATCTCTATTTTCAATATACTGATGATGGCAATCACTGTGGTCTCCCCCTGCATGAACCGGTGCAATATAGATAGCTTATTAATCTACTGGCTGTAATATACTTCACATTCTAATACCCGGGCAATATCTATAATATAGCTTACTGCATAGCTATATATAATTATCTTTCTGCTACCGGCCCGCTGGATCTGCTCCCGGATAAATGCCATTACAGATTCAGTCTTAAACTACACAGCTGCCAAACAGGGAACCATAGACTACTATACCTAATATATTATATTGGGACGGCTGGTCTGCGCCCGGAACATGCTCACCTGCTCCCAGGCATAATCCATCCAACAGAATAATAGAGTCTCTAACCAGGGGAGTAACATGGCGGTTAACAATACTATCTATATACAGGTATGGTTTAACTGGTCTAACTGCTGTAACTCAGGCCAGAAATCCTTCTGGTTATTCAATATTATATAGCACTTGTTAATCATGATCCAGTCCAATTACTGGGTCTGCTGTAATCAGTTAATAAATATCTGAAAATCCTTAGTCACGGCGGACTCGGGCGTGACTAATATAATTATAGCCTTATCTAGTGGCTGACAGCTCTTCCACAACATATATGATATGCCCAATATCTGGCATCACCGGATCATATCCTGACATAATGATATTAATAGAATTACTATAATTATTGCACCCCCGGGCTCTGTGAATACAGGTAACATAAACAACATACTCTTGCCTCCCCCAGTAAGCATCACTGCTATCACGGGGCTCTTACTATCCTGGATTACCCGCAATGCAGGGGCCTGTATACCGCGGAACTGAATTATCTTAGACCCGGTTATCCACTGTAACATAGTGTGCATGTCTATAATATTTAACTGATACCGCTGTATGGTCTAGTCTTTCTTGGCCTTATCCTCCCACAGGGATTGCTTGCGCTTGCTGATCCCGGGCCCCAACACCGCGGCGGATACAAATCCTAAAAACTAATACTAATCAGTGCTGGACAATCAAAATATGGCCCGGCAGTGCTTAGTAATACTGGCCTGCTCTATAATACCGCGCGCGTACACCATCCCCACTAAATACAATGAATGCGCCGCCTGCAAATCAGTAATATAGCTTATCCACTGCTCCTTATCTATGCTATCCTCCACATCCGCATTTAATGCGGCCGCTATCAATTCCTGCTCCTCCTGTACATTACTGGCAAACACGCTGGACAGCCGTATGAACTGCCAGCTGATTCTAATGACAATGTCCCGGTACACAGCAATATTAATGGCCTGGTCTAACCGCGTGCTGGTCTCGCGCTTCAATATCTCACAGAACTGCTCTAATATCTACACCCGCTGCGTGCCGGGATTAAGGCCTTATATATATATCTCACAGGCCTTCATGCCCCAGGAACTGGATCTAGAGAATATCTGACAGCAGTACCACGCCTCAAGCTGCTGGATAAATAGTAATACCAATTATAAATACTATATAATTAACTCCCCCACCTTCTGCGGCATATATTAGTAGATAATCTTTATATTATTGCTGGTATAAAATCTCTTATGATATATAGTGACCAATATAACCATCCTGTCTTTAATATATATATTCTGCTGTCAGTTAGTCTCCATGTTGCTGTACTGGATACTCAATAACTCAGGGGCCCGGCTGGGCTGCCCGGCCACTATATAGATTAACACAGCCAACTTCTCCTTGAACCATGTGACTCGGTACAAATATTGCATGACTGCAGGGGCATACAATTGCCGGGGCTGGTAGCAGACTGTAAACTACACCTGTATGGACAGCTCAGCCCGCACCCACTGGATCATGTATAACCGCCCTACCACGGGCCATAACGTGCGGGAATTCTATAAAAAATTCTATCCTGCCTTGCCCTGGGTAGGATCATCGTATAATCCCTGCCACAGGATGGCGGGCATGGTCTCCTGGCACTTCACACACAACAACTCGCATAAAATCTCCCGCGTGGCCCCCACTAACCCATGTACCATGCCGCGGAAATCACCCATCGTGAACTAGATATGCTGGTACAACAACCGGTCCCGGTATATCCACATCACATGGCCGGGGGATGTAGTGTTGTAATGGATCCGCAACCCAAATATCCGCCAATCCTATAATATCTGCATGGGGCCATGGGTCCCGCGGACTATAAACTGCTATACCATCCACTACACCTGTTCCTGGAATATCTTCAGATGGGATGGGGCCCTGCTAGGGATATCAGTGATCACTGGGGAATCCCTACAGGCTATTAAGGATATAGACGGGGATAATAGAGATATTCACTAGGACTCCTCACTGCTGCCATATCCTTTATCAGAATAAATCTCAGCTAATGTATTATCAGCACTGTTTAACATCTAATCTACATAATAGCTCTCCTTATGCCACATAGCAATAATCTTCTCGGGGTATAGATCCAGTCACAATACCTTTTACATAATCATTATACAGGCAATCTTAATCACCCGGGACAATATAGGGGAATATATCTCAGGAATCTGTTATTCATTAGGTCCCTAGCCCAATACTGCTATAGCGTATACTAATATACTCTTATACTTATAGCTGTATAGCTGCTAATTCAATAACTTAATACAAAAATCCAAATATATATTCTTGATCTGACTTATTTCCTACAGGACCTTCTCGGGATAGCAGGATTCTATTAGCTCAGGATTGGCTTGGATAGCTAACTGCCATAACTACCGCTACTTCTTCCGCTACCAGGGCATCATACTATATAATAGACTCTTCTATATATACAGGGCCTGCATGTAAGTGATAAATACCATAATCTGCTGCTACAGCTAGATATACTTGACAATGCTCTCTATATCTATATATACCTACAATGGCTGATATAGGGTCTGCCTAGTCTCAGACTGCACTGCCTCAATGTAAATAGCCTGGCCACTGTGATCCACTGTCTGCTGGCTCTTGTACACCATCTGCTCCATGGTGTCCCATAACCGGCGGATCCCCTGCTCAATGGGGTCTATAGACTCGGAGTCAGGTAGGTCCACACTGTTCAATATATCCTGGAAGGCAATGTCCTGTAAATACTGGGTCTATCTGGTCACCCACAACTATAGATTAGTATTGGTGACTTCCACGGCTTAGACAGTCTGCTAGGCTTTCTCTGTCTTGGTCTCTTTCCATGTGGTCATGACCTTGCCCACTGCCGCATTAATATCGGCCGCGTCTATAGGAATCAATAGCTTCTCAGCCCCTACTGCCTGCACGTGGATAAAATGTGATCCGGTCTGTATTAGAAATATCTACTGGCATGTGATAATAATATACAACTGCTGTAACTCAGTCTTTTGCTAGATATATTGCTCCCGGTGAATGCGGCCGCCTTAGGAAAACCGGGACCATCCATGGACACTCTACCAATAGGCCCGTATGCTGTGGACACTGTGGCTAATATACTGACATCGGGAGTAATCGCGCTGGCATAACATGCCATCAAGATATATAGGCAATCCAGGCAATACCTGGTCCATATGGTAGGGGATCATAACAGTATTGGCCTGCTGGGCAATCCCCTCCCACTGCTGCACAGTGTCATAGATCTGGACGGCATCAGCATATTTCATGCTATGGGCATTGCCTTTCAAATACCGGATGATCTCAGGGAGCCACATACCATGCTGGTATGATCAGTAAATAATTACCAGAAACTCTTCCAGTTTTTAAAATAATTGATACTCGCGGGGTTCCATGGTAAGAAATGGTAGATAATATAATAGAAACCCTAATAATTCTGGGGATAGGAAATAGAAGAATAAATAGAATTAGAAAATAAATAGAAATAGAAAATCCGCCCATACAATATAAGGAATCTGGAATAGTTAAATTAGTCAGTAGTCTTAATAGATCCTGCTATTATTCCTGATCCTTCGCAGGGCAATAATGACTAGTTAACTTTCATAAAAACTTGTATTTCCGGGATACTCTAATGTTTTATGATTAGCTGGGATTCTGGGGACACATAGATAGAACGCTGGCGGTGATGTAGAATATATGGAATTCTGACTCAGTATAGACTGGACCCTGTCAATTCCTGGATGCTGTGGACTGGAAATCACTATTGTTCGATATATAATACAATAGCTCTACTGATTGATAGTCTTGCCAGATAATATAACAATGGATAGTGGAGACTGACCGATTAGCCTATACCCCAATAAAACTATAACTATGAATTATGGGCAACTTTTAACCATCACTGTATCCGCAAATTATAGAATAATCATCTCCAAAATGAATGGCAGATAATATTGTATCCTACCAGTAACTGGGCAAAATTTGAAGCCAACTGGCCAACAATTCATTGCTGATATATATGTTTAACATTTCGCTGATATACACATAAACCCTGAATATGACGGCTTATCAGCACCCGTCTTTTGTGATAACCAGGAGAATATCACCCATGCTTGTGGGCTAGAAAAATTAAATTCATGACTAATTAAATTTGTTATTACTAATCAGATTGCTAAGCATATTACTAAGTCCCTTACCCATGGAATCATTGATGCAG